GTCTCTCGGAAACGCATCCGGCTCCTGCACACCTCTTCAGCAGTTCGACGGCATGCCCACTGATTACGACAATACATCCGTCTTCCACCGCTCTATGCAGGGCCAGACGCCGTTCAGCAACCCCACCGGCCAAATCAACATGTTTTCTTCCATCGGCTCAGGCAACCAGTCCATCCCAACCTCACCCCAGAAGGGTTGGATTGGCCAGAACGAGTCCATGGCCAAGAAGATGCGGACGGGCAGCCCTGGCATCCGCTCTCACAACGAACTGCGCAGGGGCGACGGCATCAGGAAAAAGAATGCTCGTTTCGACATTCCAGCTGAGCGAAATCTCAACAATATTGATCAGCTCATCGCGCAGTCGACCGACGAGCAGGAAATCAAGGAGCTGAAACAGCAGAAACGTCTGTTGCGCAATCGCCAAGCAGCGTATGTTGACACCCTTGCCTCACCTATAGTCACCTACTAACGTGCCATGCTAGCCTTGATTCCCGCCAGCGGAAGAAGCAGCACACGGAGCGTCTGGAAGACGAGAAGAAGCAGTACACCACCATCCTTACAGATATGGAGGAGGAGATTGTGGACCTGAAGGCCAAGATGGAACTTCTTCTACGGGAGAAGCAGTCTTACCAAGAGTACATCGAGTCACTCCGCATGGAGAAGGAGGAGATGATCCGGTCCCACACCATCGAGACGGGCGAGCTTCGCAAAAAGGTCAGCGTCCTCACCGACCACGTGCAGAGGCTCGAGAGTGCCGCCATGTCGTCGTCCGTCCCTGGCCCCCAGGGGTTCTCTACGGGCTACGACGACATGGATGGCTTGTCCATGCCTGGTCCTTGGGACAATGTCGGTTTCCTCGGCGACTACACTGTCGAGCCTGAGGTCAAGCAAGAGCTCCAGATGGCACCACCGCCCAAGAAGTCCGAGATCAACTTCCCCGCCGAGACTGAGAAGCAGTCGTCTCAGGGTGGTATCCTCTTCATGCTCTTCCTTGTCGGTGCGTTCGTCCTCTCAAACCGGTCCGCGCCCAGCATCCCTCGCGTGTCCGATGATGTCCGGGCCGAGGCGGCCACGCTTCTTGAGAACGTCTTCAAGGATGCCGGGCTTGATGAGTCTACCAACACGATTCATGCCGGCGCTCCTCAGCCTTCGGGCGCCAACTGGGTCAACGACCCGGCTATGGGCCTGGCTGGTTCTGGCCTCGACGGCATGGCGCCCTCGATGCTTGGCCAGCTTGGCGACACCCTGACCCAGCCCAACGAGGAGCAGAACAACGAGCAAATCTTCTCGATGTCGGCAGCCCAGTACAACGGTGTTCACTCGCAGGACTTTATGCACAACGTGCCCGAGCGCTCCACGAGCCAGGGCCGCCGCAACCTGGCTGAGGCCCTCTCCTCGATGCGCAACAACAACAAACAATCAATGGCCGAGGTGTACACCCGATCTCTCCTCTGGGACCAGATCCCTACGGAGGTGGTCAAAAACTTTGCGAAAATGGTGGCTGAGTGCAACAACGCTCAGCAGAACGAACGGCAGCAATGCATGGACGCGATTGCCCGATGAAATCCAACGGCCCTTGATGACTTAGGAGCTAAAACGGAGAAACGACTGGCCGATGACGACCCTCCGGCCTAATGACGACGACGCGTCTAATGAGTCTGTTTTTTTTTCCTAACGACGATGATGATTTTCCTTGCCTCCATTGCGCCTATCCCGACTGAATCGACGATACAATCAACGCCGCTCCCGCGCAACCCAGATACTGTTGCTCACGCATCAAATGAACCTTTTTACCTTTGGACCAAGCCTTATGCTTGCTGTCCCTCTTCTTCTGGCATGATGCCAGCCTTCTTCGCACTTCTTCTTCACACCAACTCCCCCTTTTTATCCCCTTATTTTGTGTCCCTAGCTATGAAGCGAGCGAGCGAGCATTCTGATTTTTGAGTCCTTGGTTACCTTCGATTTGTTTCATATATCAAGTCTGGGATCTACTGCTCGAGCGGAGCAAGAGGCGGGCGGAGACGAGGACTGGCAAGTCCCCACCACGGGTGACGCCCCATTTTCCCTTTGTCACCTCGGATTTTCCTTATTTCTTGTACACTGTTGGATCGGTCGGTGGCATGCTGGGAAGCGGTCACGGAGAGGCTGAGAGCTGGTCTCAGGGACGTGGATCTCATGGACACGACAGGATTGAACATACGGAGAACAGGACGGTTGGGTGGACGGGACGGATGGATGGCATGGGACTCTGGGCATTCGCAAATTGGCGAGACGGGACATTACAGGCATGGGGGCGGAGGGATGGGATGGGATGGGCCGGACTACTGGGGATCTGGAACTACTCGGATGATGATGTGATGGGTGCACACGAGAGACGGATTTTATTGATGAATGACTATCACGATGCCCACCTGTGGACGGTACTACGTACAGCAAGCTGCTCCTCTTCTGTGACCTACAAGTTCGGTTTGCTGCCGTTGATTAAATGTCAGCGATGATCGTCTCTGGCACCGGGTCTTGGTACCAGCCGTTCTTTGATGTTTGTGATGTCTGTGTATGTGTGTGTGTGTGTACCACTCACGCATCGTTGTGCCATGGCCAGTCTGGCAAACCTGCCTCTGGTCCTCTCGCCTCATACGCATCGAGATCGCCCTTTCTCACCCCGTGATCGCGCCCTGCGGCGGCCAAGTGGACTCGCTGTGCCAGATGCGCCGATGCTGCCACAGCCCCTGCGCCATCTCACCCACGAGGGCCATTTTCCTGCTCACCATCTTGTTTTGCTCGCGTAGGCAGACCGCCACTACGCACAAGAAGTAGAGGCAGCAGCGCACTCTTCCTCGTCCACCTGAGTCCGCTCACCCACACGCATCCCCCCGGTCGTGGGACAAGGGGGGATAGGGAGGATCAACCTATGCGGTGGGAGGAATCCAACATTTCGGTTCGCAGGTCCTTATGAGTGGGTTGCCCCGAAGCAGGGCGGGCAGCATCTTGCGTCCCCCCCCTCTCCTCCCCCACGGTCGGGACGGGCCAGTCGCTGGCGCGGGACGAGGTCAAGTGGGAAGAACCAGCGTGCAGTAGCGCGCTGGAGCTGATCCCCCCCAAGCAGCGGGAGGAACGTTCGCGACCTTCTGATCTTAGGGGAGGGGGGCACTTGTAACCTGCAGACGGGTATGAATGACCTTCCGTTCTCTGTCTCTCCAAGTTCCGTGCTGAGGAAGGGGGAGATGCGATTTGTTGCGTGTATGTACTTTTCCCAGACGCCTCAGCCATCTATATCTGAGGCTTGCTTTCTTGCTATAGGGAGAGATCCTCCTTGTGTGTGTGTGTGGCTGTGATTGATGACCGCGCGCTTGGTCTTGGTTGTTGTCCCGAGTCTGTTTTTAGCGCCCCTCATCAATACCCCACCCCCCCCTCTTCCTCCAAGCGGCTGACGCACTGGACATGCCTTATCACGCCAGTGAAGACCGTGTGTAGATGCCTACAGGACCCTGGAGAGGCGAGACAGTGGACCACATGTCTCGTTTTTTCCTCTCATGTCTCAGACCATAGCTGTGTCTGAGTCTCTGCCCTCACCGTTGCATGGCGCGGCCCTTTTCGTCGTACCCTCTTCCCGACGGGCGGGCGGGCGGACGGACGGAGGGGTGGTCTGTGGCTGGCGAACGGGCAGACAGTCTCTTGTTGACGTGATGCGATCTCGTGTGCTTTGCCGCTCTGCTCCTTGTCTCACTTGGCTTTTGCTAGTGTGCGTGTAAGACACGTTGGGCAGAATCTAGTACGGGGACCCCTTTCGCGGTCGTTAGTGGGTGGGGTTCGCTGTGCCACTCGACTCGACGAGACAATGGCTTTGTGCTGCACCCGGCTGCGTTCTGGCGCCTGCGGTGGGAGTGGGGTTGGGGCGCATGTGCATTGTTCGGTTCTTTGTTCGGGCATCTCTGGGGTGTGCATCTGGCCGTTGCGCGGGCTTGCCGTGATCGTTCGGCGTAGTGGTGCGTCTGGAAGTTTCGTGTCGAGGCGTGGAGAGAGCTCTGTTTCGAGCTGTGAGTGAGAACTTAGTATCGAGGTACAGATTCATCGTTCCGCTCTTTCAGGTCCGAGTTTCGCGTTGACAGTTGGGTCTAGACTTCTGGGGGTGCATCGTTTGGTGACTGACGCCGCCGAAGCTGGCTCCGTACATGCGAGAGGCTTTTATCCATTCCTCAAGATCGGCCTCTCTTGAGACCATGACCACTTCACAACGAGAGGTATTGACATCCATAAACTCTTCACAGATGGAAGAAGACTATACCAGGCCTCTCAGGCGTTCTATGCCTGGTCAGGCTTTTGCTACCCGAAACCGTCGTGTTCTCCCTCGTGCCGATACTTGACCATCATCTTTGTGGGCAGTAGAGGGTGCGCGGAGCTCCTAGAGGCCTCTCTTACGTTCGCATGATGCTTACTTCCCACTTCATTCATGTCTTTGTCTGCAAAAACACATGAACTCTCGGAACTTCAGGGCGCTGCGTACAATACCCGGGTTCAATAGGGATATTTTGCCGACCCAACATCGAACCGTCTAGTCCGGCAAGACGTGTCCATGCTCTTCGCCAGGAACCAGCCTCGATGCACTCACCCCAAGGTACTACATCCATCACATGCGTCTACCATCTTCAACCACAAAAGGCAGGGTTGGTCGGCAAAAAAAGACGTCGGTCCTTTACACCATGATGCCATCACCATGACGAGTTTCGGCCGTCACCAAACTCCCATCGAGAGGGACCTGCATCCGCAAGAGCACATGTCAACCACACACGGGAGCCCCCAGCGACAGCCAAGCCCGAAGCTGACTGTAGTCCGCGATGAGGCCACAATGCCACAGCCAAGCCTTCGTGCCGAGTGAGTAAGAGCCTTTCTCACAGGCACGATACGCACACGCCGCAAGGGGGGCCGCATAGAACTAGATAGATGCATCGCAAGGGCAAGAGCCGCCGCAACCTGGAGGTGTTCCAGGAAGACATACTCAAAATACCTGGCTGGCATGGCAAAAAACAAATCAACGCTTTCCTCCACGCCATTGGGGAAGAATGGAGGAACCCCGGCCCCCTTTTTCTCAGCCTTTTCTTCCACCCCCCTCCAAGCTTATCATCGCCAGTTATTCAAGACGAGACGTCCACGGCGGCAACTTCGTGCTACCACGCTTCTTCATTCCTCCAATAAGCGGAGCAGAGTGGGAGGCCCAGTTCAGCCCAGCCGAGCAAAGAACCGGGAACACAGCAGCACGCATTCTTTCCCCCAACACACGCCCCTCTCCCCGACGGAACGGCCCCCCCCCCGGTAAACTGTCCGTCACCCGGCACAATCGCCAGCCCAGTGATCGCCAGGCCCGCGTAGAAGCGTCGAGTGCACGACGCCACGCCGCCTTCCGCCGCCGCTGCGACGGGTGACAAGGCGCTGTGCGAGGAACACGCCGGACTCGGTGGCCCGCCGAGTATCAAGGGTTGAAGGTGGGTGGGGAAACACGAGCGACGGGTGCCGGGTCGGGAACACGGATGCCTGCCGCCTTCCGCGTAGTGGCCGACCGACTCGAGCTCCCCGCCCCCCGCCCCCCTCCATCTCCGCGTGCCGCACCCGGGGCCTCAAAGGAAAAGAAGGGTAGACTGGCGCGTTGCCGGGTTGATGCATGTCACACCTCACCTCTTCTTCTTTTTGCCGGCGTCATCGGGACCGGGAGGGTCGTACTTCTCCTTCCATATCCTACATCAGGGGAAAAAGTAATGTGTCAGCCGATGTGCGATGATTGGCATGGTCTCTGCGTGATACAAGCGTAAGAAGGGGGGGAAGGGGGGCAAGCAGGTAGACAGCGCTATCTAGTCGTACTGGACACCAGAGGGCGTACACGTATGAAGCATGAAGGCAAAGCAGAGGAAGAGCCAATGGCTGGGCAAGCAGAGGGCACTCTTTGTGCAGACACGGCGATCCAGCCGGGTTCATCCGCGGACGCCCGCCGACGGCAAGAGCACGCCGGCACGACGGGTGTCGGCAGGGCGCGCAGGACTGCGTCTCGAAGATGGAGGGGGGGGCTTGGGCTTTGGGGGCCGAGATGACGAGGGCCAATGGAGGTCACGGCCCGCCTGTCATCTGCGACGAACGCGCGCACAATGGTGCGAGCGATGTCATAGGTGGTTCGAGGGAACACGCAAGAGGGAAAGAGGACAAGAGGGGCCATACAGAAGGCGGGCAAGCATTAAGGGGAGACAGGAGGGGTGCGGGCAATAACGAGAAGAATGGGAAAAGGGGGGGGGGGTGGAAGTACGCACCATGAGTTGCCCATGATCTTGTTGCCATTCTTCTCAGCCAGTCGGTAGTAGCGCGCTGCTGCAAACTGGGCATGTCGTCAGCCTCATGTGACGAGACGTTGCATCTCGACCTGGGAGCTCCAAGCTGAAGTTCGTTCCTCGATGGGGGGTTCTCCTCTGCTGCGGCCGTCCCATTGATGCCCAACGTGGGAATGCCGGGCCACTCTGCAGCCAAGGTCTGGGGCTGGAAGGGGGGCAGAGGAAGCGTTTGACGGATGCTGCAACCTCGTCTGACCCTGCAGTAAGCCACATCCTCTGGACCAGCGACCAAGTGAGGCTGGAGTCTGGGCCTGACAGGCCTAACGATGACGGGCGCAGCAGATGACATGACGAGCGCGCAGCAGATGCCCCGACGGGGTGAACAATAGAACGCCCCGTCCGACGTACCTTGTCTTTCTTGCAGCCGAAGCCTTCGAGGTAGCACCAGGCCGCCTCGTTCATGGCGTCTACCGAAGCGTAGCTGTCAGGTCATGTCGTTCTTGGTCGGGCTTCAACGAGGAAGCATGGGCTTCAACGGGCCGCAGGAAAGGGGCAACAGGGGTGGCAGCAGAACTCACCGGTATCTCCCAGATTCGCAGCCGTCTCGTAGTACTGCCGCGTTCCATGTCAGCACATTGCTCCCACCTACGACGCTGTCCATGACTCTGTCCATGCTTCCGTCGCGCATGGCGCACGCAAGGAGGAAGTAACACACCTGCTTCGCAGCCACGGGGTCCTTAGCTGTCCCCCAGCCGTGGCGGAACGAGTTGCCGAGCTCGAAAATGGCGAGCACGAGCTCCCCCTTGTAGGCGCCGCCCTTCTTCAGGCCGGCCTGGAGCGCGAGCTGCTCGACGGTGGCGGCGTTGCTCGCGGCGGCCGTGAGGTAGGTGACGCCGCGCTCGACGTCGGGCTCGCAGCCCCAGCCGTGGCGCAGGGCGAGGCCGTAGAGCACCTGGCTCAACGGGTTGTTGGCGCCCTTGGGGTCGGCGAGCCAGGCGAACATGGCCGTCGACTTGGCGAGGTGGCCCTCTTCGTGCAGCCGGATGGCCTCCTGGATGCCCTCGTCGACGTCCTTGGACGAGACGGGGCCCTTGCGGACCAAGGGGGGCGTGGCCTCCGGGGCGGAGGAGGACGAGGCTGCCCTCTGCGCTGTTGCTGTCGGGGGGACCGCGTGCTGGCCTGACGAGGGCGGCGTCGGCGGGCGCGAGTTGCTGCGCGCGCGCTCCGTCATGTTCGCGAGCATGGTGGCACGGCGCTCCCACTGGTCCTCGGCCGAGTCGGAGGCGACAATGGCGGGGAGATCTTGGGGTACGTGTTCGGAGCTTGAGGGGGCGCGGCTGAGGTGGAGGCGCTCAGAGATGCGGCGGCGGGCCTTCTCGGGGCCGTTGCTCGCCTGGGACGAGACGGAGCCGCTGCGGGACCGAGACGACGAGAAGACGTCGAGGCTCAGGCGGTTGCGCTGAGGGATGGGGTCGGCGGCGTGGAGGAGGGTGTTGTTGTTGTTGTTGTTGTTGCTGTTCGAGGTCGGCGACAGCTGGGACGTCGCCGTCGCCGCGGGTATGTCGTCTTTGGATTCCGAGCGGACAAACTTGAACTCGGGCGCGCCCGTCGGCGGGGGAGAGGTGTGGGAGGCGTCAGGCTGGCTGTCATGGTGGTCGTGATTGCTTTCGTCGTCGTGGCCTTCGCCATCCTTCTTGCGGAGGAAGTCGCGGAGTCCCATGGTGGGAAGGGCGAGGGGTCGTCTGCCGTTGCCTGTGGTTCGCGATATCGCAGGTTGTGTCGGGTGAGGGAGGCGTCGATGGTGTTGAAGGAAGCGGTCGTCGCTGGGGTTTTCCCTCAGAAGAAACGGCGTTTGTCTCAATCCTGTCTGAAAATCTATCCCGACAGACGAACAATGGTCAAACACAGCCGACTGGGGCGCAGCCATAGTCGGATCAGATCAGAATGGCTGACGCCGCGAGGCTTTCATGGCGGGGCTGATCCTTGGGGGCCGACGTGCCGTGCTGAACGAGGGGGACCCCCGAAAAAGACCTTTGCAAAGGCGTGTGTACGCGCGTTGTAAACGCCCGGGGCGCCCTGTAGGCGGCGGCTCCAATATCCCTATAGGGGTCGTCGTCTGTTCATCGCCTGGTGGCGGGGCTGAGCTAGGCAGGATCGTCACTGCGCCGCCCCCCCTTCTTCGTTCGTCATGGCGCCTTGTCGGAAGACTGTTGCAGTGAACGTGTCGATTGAGTTTGTCTAGAGATGCAAAAATGTATAGTGATCAGCCATGGTAATTTGGAAACAAGTGGTGCCATGAGGGATGTCCCCGCTCTGTCGATACTAGGTCATGTTGCATGGGACTTAGGTAGTAAATCCTCAGCCTTTGTTTGGAGTGTCATCTAGGGCTACGGTACCTACCTAGGTAGGTACCTTAGGTAGGGGGGTAGGTACTTCACTGATGATAGGCACCCTGGGTAATGGTAACCAAATCAAAAAGGCACATCACAACAATATCAACCGCATCTCCCATAAACAATACTAGTTATCATGCGTATTTACTCTTCATCGTCTTCGCCTTTTTTTTTTCCTTCTTCTTTTTCTTGTCGCCCACTTTCTTGCTCTTCATCGTCCGTGTGCAGGGTATCTTCATATCGTCACCGTCATCCTATCCTAAGGTATCCTAACGATTCCACGCCGCCGACACACGTCGTGTCGACAGCAGCAGCAGCAGCCGCAATGCATCAAGGGGTGCAAACGAGCATCACAATCAAAAGGAGATAAAGTCGCTCTGCGCCTTGACCTCCGCGTCATCGACCTCGCCGTCGCCACCGAGAAACTCGTCGACCTCGTCCGAGTCGACATCGTCGCTGTCGGCCACGTCGTCGTCGCTCGACATGTCGGCGTCTTCCTGCTGCTCGCCCGCCTTCCGCAGGACGCTTGCCCTCTCGCGGTGCAGCAGCTTGCAGCCCTTGGTCTTGCACACTCCTGTGTTGCTAAAATCGGGACATTCGGACACGTGCCTCTCGGTGCACTCTTGTCCTGCCTCGCAGAAGCCGTAGAGGCCAAACGGCCGGCATACCAGCGCACCTGGAGACACGTTATTGTGGGCATACGGACACTCATGGTTCGCACAGTTGCCCTTGATGAAGTGCAGGCACGTCGGCGTGCGCTGCGGGCACAGATCATGGGACAGGTCGCAATCCTCGCCGTTGGCGCACTTTCCCTTCTGGAGAAAATCACGGCACACCGCCACCTTGGACGCGTCGTGGATGTAGCGACAGGTCGGGCCCTTGGGGCAGGAACCTAGAGTCGTTCGGTTAGTAGCGTTTCCTCCTCCATGCTGAAGCGCTCGATCTTGAAAGGGGCCGGGCGCGCGCCTGATGTCACGCGGCGCCGAAGAGAAGTCTAAAAATACCAGTCGACGAAAACATGCGGCAAGGCACGTTGACCTTTTTCACGCCCGCATGTCTGTCATGTGTTAGCATATATGCAGTACGAGGGGGGCACACATACGGATGGAGTTTGATCACGCCCTGCCGATACAGGTTGCCATTCTTGCTGCGACGGAACTGAACGCCGCCGACAACGGCAACCTTGGGTGTGGCGCTGGCCGAGTGGAGGTCGCCTGGTAGATGTGAGTAGGTAGGTCCGAGGGGGAGGTGAGGTGCGAGACGACGTGCCGGCCAGTTTGACGAGCTTGCTGCCGTTGCAAGTAACGCGGAAGCTGATGCCTTGAATATCGACGACGTGGTCTTGACCTGCGTTGGCGAGGTTAGGTTGTGGGTTAGCACGAGCGAAACCAGCCGCGACACGGGGCCCTTGGCGCTGGTGGAGGTGAGACGTCAGCTGAGAGGCCTCGCGTGCGTTCTGGGACGCGAGATGCTGTTTTCGAGTGGCCTCGATGGCTTCTGTGCGCTTCTGGTTCTTTTCCTCAAATACATTCGAGTTGATAAGCTGCATGTTGTGCCGATTTGTGGTCGCGACCCACGAGCCTGAAGCGTTGGAAATGACGGCGTTGGATGCTGGTTGTGCCTCTGTCATCGGCGTATGACTGCCGCTGTTCAGAGTTCGATTTCGGTGGGCAGGGCCATGTCGGCCGCCGCGATAAGGATGATAATGATGGCTGCTCGATCGATAGGTGTTGTCTGGTGTGGTTAGAGAGGACGGTCGAAGTCGGTGCGTGGATGACAAACGCGAATTGTGAGCTGATTGCTGGGCTGTCGGAGACTGCGCGCCGGACTGCTGGCTCTTGTGGCGGTTGATCTTGCCTATGATATTGGTGAGATGGTTTGGATAAGCAAAATTCATGAATGGGTAACTGACCAGCCAGTCTGCTGATCTTGGCTAGAAGTTCCTGCTCCTCTGAAGACATATTGCGACACTGGCGGTTGGGATAAAGCAATTCGGGGCTTGAGGAGGAAGAGAGTTGCAACGCCTGCTGAAACGATTTCGCTGTGATTTCGATGGTTTTCCGCAGCAAAAACAAAATGCGGCGCGAATGTCGTCGAGGTCAGGGTTTCGAGTGCTGTTTGTGTTGAGGGAAAGTTGCAGTGTTGGGTTGACAGAGGAGGGGTGAATGCCCAAATACAAGTGACGGAGGCGACTTCAAAGTCAACGCGAAGTGGGCTGGGAGTCGGATCCACTTTCCTTCCAACCATGCTGCTCCTTAGGCCAATCAACAAGCTGCACATCTGCAAGGCTAACAATTGCTGTTGTGCAGGAGCCATCTTTTGTCCTTGCCAACCGCTGGTACTGTTTTACGCTCGATCCGCATTACGACCTCACATCATCGGTCTCTTTTCCTTGCTGGTCCGCTCCTTCAACGACTGCGGCAATATAGACCGTCTAGATTTCTCGTGAAACCCGATACCCGGGTCTTTTCTTCTTTCGAAACCCCCAGGCCCCAATTTCGTGCCCGCCCAACACGCTCCCATAACCTCGCAACAAACCTCACCCAGCAAACACCACCAGCCCAGAAGCACACCGCTTCTCTCCCACCGTCGCCATGTCGTCCTGGGAGCTCCTCAACGACGCCGAAGAAAACGAACTCCACAAATCCCGCCTCCTGAACATCGAGGAGAAGCCACTCAAGCGCATCACCAAACGCCTCGGGGCCATCTCCACCATTATCGCCGCCAAGGCCGCCCAGCAACCCACGCCGCCCCCCGACGCCAACGCCGCCTCTGCGACCGCCGACCCGGGGGCCCTGCACCGCGAGCGCGCCCTGCTCCGGGAAGACCTGGCCCTCGACTTCGCCGCCTTTGACAGCAGCATCGCGCGCCTGCAGTTCCTCCTCGACGCCAACGAGCGCGAGCGCGCCCGCTACGCCGCCGACCAGCAGCGCATCCTCGACGAGTGCCAGGCCGTCCGCGACAACAATGCCGCCCTGCGCGCCCGCCTCGACGTCGCGCGCGGCACGCTGCGCCAGCGCAAGGAGTTTGACCGCCTCGCCGACGATATCACCAACAAGAGCATGCTGCGGCCGCGGGACGACCAGCGCGTCGCGCTGCGGAAGCTTGAGGAGGAGTGCGCCGGGCTCGAGCGCGAGAGCGAGACGTACAACGACACGTGGGGCGAGCGCAAGGAGCAGTTTGCCAGGATCATGGATGAGGCCATGCGGCTGCGGCGACAGATTCGCAACGAGAAGGAGGAGGTCGAGAGCAGGGAGGGCATGTCGAGGAATGGTGGGGAGGAAGGTGAGGTGTCTAGGGCGTGAGGGATTTCGCGGTTCAGACGTCAAGACACTAGGGCGAAATTGGCCTCTCAAAACAGAAAAGAATTGAGTTGTATCGGACCTCTTAGTCTGACATAGTTGATAGTACTATCTGTGATGTTTGAGTGGATTGAT